GCTCGGCGCCTGCGTGTTCCTGCATGTGGCTTCTGGTCCAGAGGCTCACCCCTGAGCTCTGCTGTGGGGAGAGGAGCCAGCAGCACGTTAGGCAGTGCTGAGGAAATGCTGACTGCCCGGATCTTTATCCGTCCTCTCGTGAGTCACTCCTGCAGCCTCTTCCCTCCCCGCTCCCAGGGGCCCCGTGGTGGATGCCTGGAGGCATCTTCCCCCAAATCGGGTGCCGTGGGGACTTCTCCAGCAGCTCTTGTTTTCTTCTGGCTTTCCTGACCTGCCACAAACTCAACATCAGCTGCCTTTTATCCCAAATGTGGAGTGCACATCATCTGACCCCTCTATTGTTATCCCTTTTCCTTGCTGACCCCTGGAGTGATGTCTTAAATTTGGAATGTAGGCACAGGGAGGTTGGAGCCAGGTTGGGGTCAGTCTCTCCAAGCTATAGGACAAGAGGAAACAGCCTCGAGTTGCACCGTGGGAGGTTTAGGTTGGATCCTAGGAAAAATGTCTTCTCTGTCAGGGTTGCCCAGGGCTGTGCCAGGCTGCCCAGGGCAGTGGTGGAGTCCCCACCCCTGGAGGGGTTTCCAGGCTGTGGAGATGTGGGGTGAGGGACACGGGGCAGTGGGGACCTGGCAGTGCTGGGGGTGGTTGGACTCGGTGAACTGAAAGGTCTCTTCCAAGCAGAACGAGTCTCTGGTTCTGTGGCCGTGTCCTGCTTGCTAGATGACACAAGCAGAGGCTGTCATGCATGACCCGAAAACCACTTTGTACCTGGCCTCCTTTGCACCTGAGGAATTGTCATTTACTCAGCCCAGAAACAAAGAGATTTCAGAGCATTTCAGACGCTGCTGTGGAACGACTGGTGGTCACTTCGTGGAAAGGTGTTTTCTCCTTCTGGCTGCTCTGGAGGAAGGGTGGGCTTGGCAGGGCAGGAGGGGTGGGTAAGACCTCTTGCCAGCACAGCTCTTGCCCAGCAGCACCTCCTGGCTCTGCCCCTCGCCGGCGTTTGCCCTTTAAGGGTGAGGTGAGAAATGGGGAACTAAGAGCTGTGCCAGAGCCACACCGGCCGGGCAGGTCGGAGCTGTCGGGCGGGTCGGGGCCGCGCTCCCCG